ACCGCTCGCATATTTTTTCCGGATGCTGTCGGATAGCATGGCGATATGCAGCGATTCTAAAATGAAAAGTTTTCGAGAGGAGGAGATAGGAGGGTGGCAAAAAAAAGTAACTCTTTAACTCTTACGTACCTGTTCTATGTAATATACGTCTAAGTCCGCAATCAAAGTAAAATCATTTCACCGAAAGAAAGTGATCAAAATGAGACGTCGATCAAAAGAAGCCTCGCGTTTGTAATATACATAGACGGAGAGTCTACTTAGATGTGAAACTCGAATCGTCCCTTTTTATATGACACTGCATCGAATCTAGTAGCCGCAGATTAATACGTGATTAGAGAATCCGATACTTCGTGTGTATCTCAGCGTTTGTACTTCGCTTCGTTCCGTACTTCTCTGTGCTGACGTTAAATATCGATATCTTGATACTTTAGATCGACCAATGTGATTCTGTGGCTTAGCACCCCCAATCCTCGCTCGTGTCCGTATCGAGATTCCAAGAGAATGCTTGACAATTAGATTCGTGCTAGTTTCAAGACGGCATGATTTTTCTACAATGATATACCTATACCTTTCTCCTGCCCTGTTTTCAAATTATAGAATGATATTAATTGTGAATTCGATAAAGTCGTAGGGCATTTAAAAACTTACGCGATAAACGAGTGCGTACGAGAGCCGATCTGTAGGACATTAGAAATTAAGCTTGTAAGATACATTCTTTGTAAGCTCCATAGTTTTTCATCGTTAGGATGTAAGGATTTCTACTTACATTAACGTGTTGGCAAACACAGATATCGAGACATAGATCTACGAAAAATACGAAATCTATTTAACAATGTATATCCACTTTTCTCCTTACATCCGGTTAAATCCTGTATTAGATTATATACGGACAAAGATTATCGCCTGTAACGCTTCCCACGTCTCCAAAATCATAAATTTATTCAACGAAGTCAATTTCTAACAGTTGTTATTACTCACGATTGTGTTGCTTTCCTGAAGCAATTTGCTTGTAATTAATTAAAATTGGATTCCCCAAAATGCAGAGGATATCTAGACCTTTAGATTAAAGAAAACAGCTTTTTTACTTTTAATGTTTCTTCATCTATTGTATTTTGTTTAATTTTGCATTTTTTTAACTATAGACACTCCACAATATCAAATCGCATATGCGTAAAACTAGCATAAACAAATCGAATGTTACAACGCGTAGCCAAGTAGCAGCCAAGAAGCAATAGCAGAAAGTTCAGAACGCTTTGAGAATTTTGTAAAATCTATAGATGTTTTTCCGAGCCTTGGGCACGTGCGTGTAGTCAAATTCACACGCAGTTAAAATGTAACTTTCGCATAATTGTCTCTACCGATTTAATTATTTGCCATTCAAACTTATCCTGATGAAAATTTTTCTTAGATTACGTTATATTTCAAAATTTCTATACAAATTTGAGAATTTTTCTAATTTTATAACTTTTCAAAAAATTTCTCTGTTTTTATTATGAATTTATTAGACGTGAACACTTTTCAAAAATATTGAAAAAGTATATCTTTTCTTTATTATATGAATTCTAAAATATTCGAAGATTTCTTATTTTCTAATTTTTA